TTTAATGTTTGTCCGCAAAGAGCTAATCTTACATTTTGGGTATATAGGACTAATACTAGGAAAAATAACTCAAGGACACATTCAAAGACTTGGATCATCACTTTCTAATGAATTTCTGTAGCATACCTACAATAAGCATGAAGCCACATAATTGTGAGGTTCAAGAAGAAGAAACATATCTAAGACCAGAGTGATTTTGCAAAACTTGGGCAACAGATTAGAAATGCATTAATTTGTATTTATTTATCCTCATTAAAGGGGATATATTTACCTTTTGCTGTAGGTTAAATGTTGTATTCATGAACACGCATCCATTTTGTAGATGACCACTTGTTACCCTTAATCACGGCGCACCCACCTACAACAAGACACAGATAATTGAACTTGTTTGTCGACAAACTTTGTGGTAGTCATGAGCTCTGCTAAGTTGTACAGAGGTCGATACTTCATGTGATTTAAAATGATCAGATAACATGACAGTATATTCTAGTTGAGCTTCTTAAATCAATCAGCAGCCATTATCAGAATTCAGAACCTACTCTTAATGAACATTACTCACCGTGCAAGCTTGAAGGATCAAGAGTAGCATCAGGCTTCATGCTCCAGAAAAGCAAAGCATCACCCATCTTTGGTTTTACAGAGAGTCCACCTTTTCCACATTCAGATAGCTCATTCCACCATGGAACTGCACTAAAATTTCCCTGGGCAGCAGGAAATACAGTTTCTCCCCCTTCTTCAACATCTGATCTGTGGTGCAGCAAGAGATATTAACCAGAGTAACTAACTAAATACGTAAATATAAACCTCACCTAGGGAAAGCCACTTACAAGTACATCAAAACCGTAGCAATGCGTTGACCACCATTTTGAGTATTAAACTCATCCGAAAAGTAATCATAGTGTGGCTCATACTTTTGACCCACTTCATAGTGGAGAATTTGAAGACCTTCACCATGCTCTATAGGCAGAAGCAGAAGCACCAATTACATGCAATTCAAGACAGTGCATATTGGCAAACATGTCAAATTGTTGGGTAGTTAAAGAGGAAAATTTAGTAAGTTTAGCTGTGTCAAGAAAAACAAATATGCCTGTCTGGTTGAACCATGTTAGATGATATATGTCCCCTTTGAGATCCTTTTTTTCCAAAAGAAAATCAGCCCTCAAATAAACACAAAATTTTATGGTCCGTATAGGGAAGAGGAGTAATTTGAAGCAGTTATTAACACCCAGATTATTTTAAAACAGGTACTTTGTATATATATGTTACAATCCGAATGTTACATGAGTTGTAGTACCCAGATTTTGCATTGCAGGATTTGAAAAGTACTAGTTTAAGTTTGCACATGTAATTAGTTACCAATTCATTCCCACCCACTAATCATGCAATTGAACTGAATCTCAGATCGGGATAAAGCTTCTCCAGAGAAAATGCATACAACTTCAATAGCCATCAACAAAAGCAAAATCATTCATAGGCTGAACGAAACGACCCTTTCTGCAGAGGATCTCAACAAGAATATTCCCCTGGAAAATTACAGCTGAAGCAAACTGGAATTCCTAAGTAATAGCAGACGTTATATGTGATTCATAGTGAGACCAAATAACCAATTCCTACTCCATCACAAAAAGACACAGGTGGTATCATTTTCTATATCAACATGTATGGAATTTTTTCAAGGCCTGTCTACGATCGAGCATCATGCAAAATGCACACACCCAGAGTAATTGCAAATAACAGTGTAAATTCAAAGAATCGCATATTTCGGTATAAAATCAGCATACCTACGGGTATAAAGGTGAAATCTGCAATCCTTTTCTCTATAGTCCTGACTACTTCATCTTGTCCCCTGGCAAGAAATGTTCCCGAACTTGTTCGAACCCTGCCAGGGAGGTTTATTAGTTAAAACAGTGACAATGGAGACGAACAAGCAAAAGAGATGCTTACCTGCTGTCTGTACTCTTGCCAGTAGCACTATCAACGACCGTTGACTTCTTCATATGAGGCTTTCCAAGATTAATCAGATATTCACATTCTTCCTTTGACTGCCCAAAAAACAGGAAGGAAGTTCAGAATAGCAACTTTTCAGAAACAGTTAATGCATTGGTCAACAGATCCAGTATTAGATATGCTCAAATGAGAACATTAGTAACGACTCCAAAGATACCAGAAAATGCATCAACCCACAAACCATTTTTTTTTTTCTTAAAGGTATGCATTGTTAAAACTACTTCGATTCTATTTTATGGGGCACTATTTCTTTATTAGTTTGTTCCACGAAGAATGTCACCTTTATATATTGAGAAACAACTTAATTTTAAACTTCTCATGCTTTTATAGCACAAAAATTTCATGACATATTTAAGACCACAAGTTCTAAAGTTTTTCTTTGTTTCTTAAATTCTATACCCAACCAAAACCGCTACATAAATTGAAATGAAGGGAGTAACGAACAACACAAAGATTGTGTTGTGCTGACATCAAATTCTAAAGTTCTTCTTTGTTTCTTAAATTCTATACCCAACCAAAACGGTTACATAAATTGAAACGAAAGGAGTAACGAACAACACAAAGATTGTGTTGCGCTGACATCCCATCAAAAAGACCCTGACTATCAATGTAGTGAATCTGAAATTTTTAGCAGGGTTTCAACATCATTTACAATTTCCAGTCAACAACAAAAAGGAAACTAAAAAAAAAAGAATCTGATTTGATCTTCAGACTAGAGATATATTGTCCTACAAAGCGTATTTATGTTTCTTTCTATAGAAACCACCATATGCAAGGTGATAATGCATCTTTTCTTCCCATTTTTTCGGTAAAGGTAAGAGTTATTGTCAAACAATAAACAGCAAAACATTAGCCATCGAACCACCAGGTAAATGCTATGATGAGGACACTAGTATCAATATTGAATCAATATCGACACTAGTTTCCTCAATATTATTGATGATTGCTGAAAACCAAGTTATAGTGATCTACATGGTCTTGAATGGCAGAGAAGTGCATTTGGTTTCTTGCAGTGGCACAGTGCAAAAGCAAATTGCATAGCGATGCCAATGCTGATTTAAAGAAAGAAAAAGAACACAGGAATCAAGTGTTGCCATCGTTATGAAACTTTGATTTTTTTTCATTTCACTACATCAGATGAGCTATCTATATTGATTTGTATCTTATCCAAATTCATAAGTAATGTGCCCTTCCCAAATTTGTGTAGTAAAAGAAATCCAAATGCAAGTATTTCTCATTTCCTACACATGACAGTCTTCCTGACCATCAAGAAAGAATATTACATTACCCTTATAGAAGTAGTATCCATGAATGAATATCATGTCAATAGAGTAATCTCAGTCGTGCAAACTTGGGGTGCACTGAGTAATTAAGACTGCAGTCCTGATTTCGAATAATCAAACATGCATCTCAAAGCACATGGGCACTCCAAGGCCTGTAATATCACTTATGGATTTGGAAGAACCCAGTAACTTTTGCTTAATTCATTGAATTTGTACAAAATATTTCGAACCCATTAAATAAGACGAGCTATTGGTTTGGTAGCAGTTAAAAACCTGTGAACTTCAAATCCTGGTTCCACCTCTATGGGCACCTCCACCAGGTAAAATAGTTGCAAAATACCGTCAAGACTAACTCTTAAGGAGGACAGTGCTCATTTCTTCCTGAACTGCTATCCATCCACAATGCATTGAAATAAACCAGGCAAAAAAAAGTAGCAAGAGACGACAACTCTTGGTTACCATGAAATCACTTCAGCCCATTGAAATAAACAAAAAAAAGTACCAAGATTTGATCTTTTCTCGATTCACTGTGTCAGATGAGCTATCTACATTGATATGTATCTTATCAATAGAGTAATTTCAGTCGTGTGAACTTGAAGAGCATCAAGTAAATTATATGTCCATCATGAGTTCACATGGGCACCTCCACCAGGTAAATAGTTGTGAAATCCCGTCACGATCAACTCTAAAAGATGATACTATCCATCTATTCCTATACTGTTATTCATGCAAAATGTATTGAAAAAAAAAAAACTTAATGGAAGTACCAAGAAATTATGATAGACGACAGCTCTTGGTTCCCATGAAATCAATTCAGCCCACTGATCTCCTCTTCCACCATCACCATCTCGTCTTCAGCAAACAAAAAAATCCCATAAATACTATCAGATCCCTATCTAATTCTGAAAATGAAAAAAAGTAACCAGCAATCCGGAGCAGCTGTAGCCTTTTGATTATGGGTTTATTTGCTAAAATCTCAACAAATATTAGATTTAAGCTCATAATTTTTAACATTACAACGAATACAATGCTAAAAATCTTTAAAATTGAACCTATTAAATTAAAATTCTGGATCTGTCTCTGCAACAACTAACCAAACAATACAATGAAAATTACCTTCCAGCTGCATTATGAGCAATTGAGCTAAGATCATGTACTTTTCGCGATCCTCTAGAAGTGAAAGGAATCGAGAAAACTCCAAAAGCGAGAAGAATCAGCACGAAAAATGAAAACCCAATAAACACAGCAAAAAGCAGCGTAGAATTAGACGATTTCCGAGATAAACCTCGGAAATGCCTCCCTTTGACTGCCATTGTTGCTGAAAATTAAGCTCTGAAAATTCGAATTGGGAATTTGTTAACCCTGAAATTGATTTGGGTACAAATCCTTCCCGTGGAATTTTTTTTAGTTACAGTAAAGTCTTCCAGTCACTAATATCTAATTTTAATTTAAAACAGAATTTAAGAAAAAAAGAAGAAGTTTAAATCGTGTTGTCTTAAATTAAAATACTTTGTGTTTTTACTTGTCAAATTTTACTTAAAATAAAATAATATTGAGGGTATAATACAAGGAAAAAGATTGACCTTTCTCAATTTGTCAAAAATAACAAATAAAAATAATAATTAAATTAAAAAATATTTGACAAGTAAATAAGGATGAAGGGGAGTATATACATGCATCAAAATATCATTAATATATCTGGATTTAAACATGACAAGGGAAGTATAAAATTAAAATTAAAGAATTGTCTAAAATATAGGAGTAATAAACGTTCTTTTTTCTTAAAAAATGAGATACACAAATTAAAATAGATATAACATGTATATATATTGGTACTCGATATCACATATATTATTACTTATTACTTAATATTTTTGTACGGTTATTGTTACAATTTGTTGTTGCTATTGCCCTTTTCTTCATTATCTTTTTTATTACTATATTTTACCTGAGCCTAGAATCTATCGAAAATAATCTTACTACTTTCACAAGGTATTTCACAAGGTAGGAATGAAATATGCATACACACCACTCTCTCAAATAACACTTTACGGGATTATAAGCTAAGTTTATTGTTAGAGCCGTCAAAACAGACTTAACCCATACTTAACCCATGTGGACGACCCAACTCAATCTGTTATTGGGTAGGGTTGGAATATAATTTTTCAAGCCCATTTAAAAATACGGCTTATAAGCCAAATCCATATAGGCCCTTGACCCTTGAGGCTTGATCGAGGTCGGGTCGGGGTCGGCCCATAGGCCAAAACTTTTTATTTAAGGGTAACTTATAATAATTTCACTAGTATATAATCTAATTACTTAAACACACGTTATGTTGTAATATTATGAATCTTACTAGATTTTGGTATGTCCAGTTACATGTATTTCGAAAATATGGACTCAAAATTAGGTTTAATTTGTTCTAGATACACTTAATCTAAGTAGATTCACATGTATCTAGGATACATAGACAAATCTCGAGCCCTCGCCTCCCTTCCATCTTGCTTGTCACTCTCTTATCTCGCTCGCGTATCTAGTATGCGAGATACATGTTAATTACACTAATTTTTTTTTGCTGGTGTTATTGAAACAACACCATTGTTTGTCATATTTGATTTGAAAATCTTCTAATTTTCTTGAATTATAAGTTTGAAAAGAAAAAAGAAGAAAAAAAAGGCTAGCCCGCCCCAGCCCTCTGCCCTTCTGGGGTTGGGTTGGCTCGAGCATTTTCAGTCCCTTCCAAATGAAGGGTCAGCCCGCCCTAACCCTTCAAATTCCTTGGCCCGCGAGGCTTGGCCTGGGTGGGGCTAAGCCGACCCTTTTTGACCGCTCTATTTATTGTTATTATCAATACATGCATTATTTTCTCTAGTAATCCGACACACTTTAATTTAACTAGGACAAATGGCTTATAATTTGGGTTAAAAAAATATTAATTAATTTTTTTTAAAATACATAAATTAATGTTTGTTAATCTAAAATTGCATTGCCTTGTTCATAAACCCTTTTCCCCCTTTTCAGAAACGGGTTCACATATACACATCTCGCCATTTTCGGCGATTTAGGGTTTGCTCGTCTCTGCAGAAAATGGCAAGTTCTCTCTTTTTCTCTCTCTCTCTATGTGTGTTTTGCATTAATAATTAAGTCTGAATTTTGCTATGGATGTGATTTTCTGCAGGCTGATTCACCTGTAAAAAGGTGCGAATCCGTTTCTTTCACTTGTTTTTTTGCATTTGATACCTTGCTTATTGTTGATTTCTCTTTACCTGCACTTGTTGTTTGTACATAGGAGTATTGATCTGTTTCTCATAGTTGGATGTTTTATTTTGGTTGATTTTTCATGTGAAAAGTGAAAAATTGGTTCTTTTAAGCACCAAGGGTGTGGTCGGGTGGTTAATGAAGTGAGTTTAATGTTTGAATCTCAGTGGAGATGAAGAACATTGGATGATTTCTTCTTGTATGCGGGTGGGATGAGATATAGTAACTTTTTCATGTGAAAAGTGAAAAATTGGTTATTTTAAGCACCCAAGGTGTGGTTGAGTGGTCAATGAAGTGAGTTTAGTGTTTGAATCTCAGCGGAGATGAAGAACGTTAGGTGATTTCTTCCCGTATGCGGGTGAGATGAGAGATTGTAGGTATTCCATGAAATTAGTTGAGGTGCCTGGCCCAAACACAATTTTTAATTAAAAAAATTACATTAGGTGATTTCTTCCTGTATGTGGGTGAGAGATTGTAGGTATTCCATGAAATTAGCTGAAGGTGCCTTCCCAAACACCATTTTTTTATTAAAAAAAAGTTAAAGTGGTTCTATTATTTGTTACATTAGGTGATTTTGGATAGAGTTAGTTGGTAACTGTATTGGTGGGAGATTGTAGGTATTTTGTGAAAGAGTTAGCTGGTAATTGTGCTGGTGAGAGATAGTAGGTATTTTATGAAATTAGTCGAGGTGCGGGCAAAATGGTCCTATTAATTTTTTTCTCAGTGCTTGATCTGGGGTTATTGATTTTTATATATTATATTTTTGTTAATGTTTACTGTATTTGATGCTTCTTATCTTTATTAAAGTTATTTTTTACCTTTACAGTTTACAAAAGAACTACTCAAAGTTACTTTCAACTTTGAATTTTTATTCTCTAAATTGGATGACTTGGTTAATGGAGAATTGGTGTGGTTTTCTTTCTTTGAAAAGGAAAGGACACTGTATTTGAAATGAAAAAGGGATTTGGTTAATTGTTAATGAAGTATGTTATTGCTCATGAGGGAAGTAGATCTGCTTGGTTATCGAATTTAGATGAGATATATACAGGATTGAAACAGTTTGAATTAGCTTTTGGGCAATAATTTTTTTTTCTCAAAGAAATGGTCATCCTAGGGAGAACGTTGCACAATTGTGTGGCTTGGTTTTAGCTTCCCGGCAGCTTAAAACCTTCTGATTTTGCTCTTTCGGTAATAAGTAACCAGCCTTCCTAGAGGTACTATGAAGATGTCATTGACATTCTCTGTAACCAAGCCTTCCTAATTGGTGCCGTAGTTCTAGATGGTATACCAGCTCAATGTTTTCCACATATTATGTTTGATCCATCAGTTATTGGACTAGAAAACCCTAGTTTTGGCCATCTTGGAATTTGATTCTTGGATTTACCCAGTGTTCTTAAAGGCGAGCGCCTTTCGCCTTTGGCGACAAGGCGAGGCCTCTCCGCGTATTTCCATTGAGGCGTGGCGAATTCAAAAAGGCGTGCCATGGCGATCAAAAGGCGACTGGCGACGTGACGTGGTGAAGCGATAGGAGCGCCTTTTTAAAAATAAAATAAAATCAGATTTAATAATTAAAAGCCAAAATTAGGTTTTTTTTTTTTGGGTATTTTTGCAAACTCACCTCAGATTAGGCGTCGCGACTGCTTCTCCTCAGATTTTGCAAGTCGCGACCCCTAGAGACTTACGTGACCTTCGCGAATCGCGACACTGCTGCTCAGGTACGACTTACACGACTGCTGTTCAGGTATGACCCCTGGAGACTTACGTGAATCTCTTCTTCTCTTCTAGTTCTTCCCTTCTTTTCTTCTTCTTCTCTGTTTTTCAGCAGTACGACTATGCTGCTCTGTTTTTCAGACCTCTATTTTTAGTGGTAGACTGGTGGTGAAGTGTGAACTGAGTGCTTTGTTCTTCTGTTATGTTGAAGTGCTCTGCTGCTCACTGCCTATATATATATTTTTTTAAAATAATTTAATTGTTCTATAATTATTTCTTCCCTACTTAATTTACTAATTAATAGAGTATTTTGAATTATTGGTTCATTCAAGTTCTAGACTTTTAATATCTACTATTAGTTTTTGAATTGAAATGTTGGCTTAATATGTTATTGCTATTAAGATTTTGGATATTTATATATGCAATTAAAATTTTTAATTTTTGGTATTAATTGGCGCCTCGATTCAAAAAGGTGAGCGCCTCGCCGCGTGGCGAGGCAGCCCCTTGTCGCCTCTCGCTGTCCAAAACCACTGGATTTACCTGTCAGAAAGGAAGCTCATGAATGATGAACCATGATTGATTGTCAATGAAGTTTTGGTTATATAGATGATTAAAATATAGGGTTATATTTCCTTGTGGATTGGGAGTCAGTGACTGTGTGACTGTTATCAGAGACAAGACGCATGCAGGTGCTATTGAAGTGCGGGTAGTATAGTGAATTTAAAACCAAAAACTGAGCAAGATAATTTTAGTGAATAAAAAACTACAGACGTGAATTTGTTGGGGTCAAACTGTTTTTTCTGCTCTGCATCCATTTTGCTTCATCAAAGTCCTTCAGTATTTAAAGGAGTCATAATAGTTGGACTATTTTTACACTGCCTCTCAGCCTACTGTAGTCCTCCTTTATACTGGCTTTGAACCACTTTGATAATGTGGTCTGTTAGAATGATTCAGGTAAATGTAGAACATAAAGAACATTGAAGGCAAAATTTTTGACTTAGTGGTTAGATTTTTATTGATTGGATATCGTTATTGGCTGGTAGCCAGTTTTGGAGTTATCTCACATGTCCGTGTTTTTTGGTTGGATGCATATCCTGTTTAGTTTATGGTGCTGGTAGAAAAAAATTACTTTGGTGTCGCCTCCCTAAGTGAAAGAAGAGTATGCGGTTAAATCTCAATGAACTAATCTATTACTTTACTGAAAATAACTGGTTTCATTGATTACTTGTGAAAGCACTGGTATCATTGATTGGTGGAGGTTGCTCACTAAGATACAATTCAAGCTCTAGCTTTTCAGTTTTTGGTCAGTCATTCTAAACTTAATTGCATGGCTGACCCTAACTTGTTCAAGATTGAGGTATAGTTGTTTTTAAACTTATTGTAGTAGCATATCATTTTTGAAAAAGCATTTATTCCATCACACATTGCATCAATTGTTTTTCTCTTGTTTAGTGAGTTCTCTAATATTAATTTAGTACCGAGCTTTTCTGTTGTTGCATCATTTTCAAAAGATTATTTTTTCTGGTTTACATTTGTATGTAAGATGTGGTTTTTTATATTATTGTTATTCAACTGGGTTGGTGTTACTTCCTGCACTTTCCAGGTATTCACGCTCTCCTTCTCCTTGGGAAGAAGAAAAGGTAAGATCTAGATCTAGGTCAAGGTCTAGATCCCAGTCTAGGTCATGGTCGAGGCCAAGAGGAAGATCTAGGTCCAGATCAAGGTCAAGAAGTCAAGGAAGGTTTGTTGGAACTTAAGTTTTTTTTGTCAGTGTCTTTCTTCTTGTAGTGCTGTTTAGTATCCCATGTGTTGGTCTTTTTTTGTGTTAAGAGCTTGTTTTAAGTTGCTAAAATTTATTCATCCACGGTTTATTCAGGGCTGAACCTGTTAATCCTGGCACCACACTTTATGTAACTGGTTTATCCACAAGGGTGACACAGAGGGACCTTGAGGAGCATTTCTCAAAGGAGGGAAAGGTTGGTAATCTACTTCATTTTACAAGTGTATTATCTCATTCATCCTTCTTGTTCTATTTGCATTCTCCTCTTTGCTCACAAGCAAGGTTTATTTTGCATAATCATGTGTCATATACTCTCTTGGCAAAAAGTTCTTTATTTTCCATTTTTTTGTTTCTTTCTAAGTTGATTATGAGTAGTATCTTCTCAACATGTACACCAACGATTTCTGGTGTGGTAGCATTTTTGGCTGGATTTGCTTTTCTTCGTCCAGCCTCCAAACTTATGAACTTGCTCTGATTTTTTTTGTTTTACTTTATGTCTGCCAGGTAAAATCAGCTTTCTTGGTTGTGGAGCCGCGTTCTCGTATCTCTCGTGGTTTTGCTTTTATAACAATGGATAGTCTTGAGGATGCCGATCGCTGCATTAAGCACCTAAATCAGTCTGTCCTTGAAGGCCGCTACATAACAGTGGAGAAGGTGAGCTGCTTTGTATTAAGTTAGTGAAGCATGTCCGTTTTGATTGCGCTTCTATCTTCTTGTGACTTGGAGATTTTGTGGTTATATTCAGAAGACATTGCGTCAGCTTTGTCGGCAGCGATAAAAGATGATCTGTTCTTCCCTGCAACATTATATTCACTCAGCTTGACCAATGGCTTGCTAAAACAGCATTTCACATGCATCTGATCAACTAGACATAGCAACTAGATTGTCCAACATCTATACAACCTCAGCAAATACTCTCAACTAATCTACGGTCATTATCAACAATCTAATCCAGCATTGGTCTCTATCTCCCACGACTTTTTGCTTGGATGGAACATGCCAAATATCTAAGCTGCTTTACTGTACGACTAACATGATCTTATACTTATTTATAAAAGAACGTAGTTATCTGCTTTGTCAACTTCCTAACCAAGCATGTAAGGGGGAAGGTAAGCAACTTTGTTTTCTTAGCTAGGTTAGAGAAGTGTTATGTCCATGCTTACTTCAAGAAAGAAGTATATTGTTTAGTCTAGATATCCCATTGTCATGTAAATGTGCACCTGTTTAGACTTCACGTTAAGGAAACCGTATGTCTACTTTTCAGTCACGGAGGAAACGCGCGAGGACTCCTACGCCTGGTCACTATCTAGGGCTTAAGAACGCAAGGGGCGATGGTGAGTCCTTTCTCATTTCTCTTAGTTTTTGTAATTTTGGGCAAAAATTTTGTAGTCTTGAACATTTGTTTTTCTTTGGTCACAGGTTTCCGTGGCGACCGTGGTGGCGACCGTGGTGGTGACCGTGGTAGGTTTCGTGGCCGTGAGGACTATGGGCGCCGTGAGGACTATGGGCACCGAAGATCTCCTCCAAGGCGTTCTCCTTATCGAGGTGGTCGAGATTATTCTCCTAGGCGCTCGCCTTATGGGGGAAGGTCAAGAAGGGAACGATCCAGGTCATATTCTCCTTATGAAAGGAACTATGCTCGTGGGGGTAGATAGGATGAAATCTGGTAGCCCTACTTATGGGTAACAACTGTTTGTTAAGGATCTTTATGAGTTTGGTTGGACTAGATTTAGGTATAACCAATTAATGAATGTATGTGTGCTCGTGCGCCTGATATGCTTGTGCGTAGCTGACTTTGGAAATTATATTGCTTGTATGTCAAGTACTATGTGTGTTTTGAAATGCCATATTCTAGGTTGAACGCCAAGGCCAGGAGTTATCTTTCTTACTCGTGATATGCTTCCATGTTGGATGAAAGCCCTAGATCTAAAGTTGGTTTATGAAGTTAATATGTTGTGCTTGCATTTCTGTTGCGCTGAGTCGTTAACTGGGTAGAAATGCTCTCTTTTGTGCCTCTGGGTGCAAGAGGCTTTTCAATTTCTTCCTGCTGATCCTTGCACTATTGAAGATTGGTAATTTCAAGTTTTCAACAGTTTGCTATCTTTGATTTTTTCAAGATTAGTTGAATGATTGGTTCCCATGCCTCTCTTTTAATACTTAGTTTAGAATCTGGTTTAAGGATAAAATGAATTATGTTCCCATCTCTCTATAATAGAGGCAAATTTAGTGTCTATGGTTCAATTTTGGACTGTTACATTTAGCTCAAATTATGTATACATAAGAAAAAAAGATTTCGAATGTATCCCTATAATAAGATTGCACTCTTTATGATTATGTTTTCAAGTTCTCTCTAAAATTCAACAATATATTTAGTACAATCTTACAAGTCGGGTTGCGAACAAATGTTGCTTCTACTTTTGTGTTTAGGAGAGGTTGAATTTGGTTGACTCTTGACTCAAAAGAAATGCATTTGACGGTGGATTGTAATTAAGTAGCACTATACACAATAAATGCAATAATAGATAGTAGTACACATCAAAATGAATATTTCTTTATGAATCTCACCAATTACTTGTTCAAATTCTATAAATTGACTTTTGAGACTCGAACTAACATTCAAAACATGTAGAATATCTTCACTCTCAATAACTGCTTACAAATCTATATAAAACATAATACTCACGACTTGTACGTTTGGAATGAACCAAATCCTCGTTAAATTTGGTTCTTCCATTAGATGGTTCATCAACTATAGATTCTGAATTCACCTATTTTAATGACTGGTTCCATGACGTCGACAAAAAGAAGGCATTTTAGGTGTCCTATTAAATCTAGGTGGATCTCTCTCTCCATCACCCCATAAAGCATAAGCTTCTTCACCATGAACAGCATCATCACCAATCTCAAGATCATCTTCATGTAATCTCAACTCAACAATTTTACTTATAAAAATACATATCAAACTAGTAGCCACAACATTCCATATTGTAATAAATACAGCACCAAGAAGCTGATAAACCATTTGTCTAAGTCCTCTTTTGATATCTCCATCAATTATGCTGTATAAAAAACCAGGACCATACTTGTCTGAACCATAAAACATCCTTAAAAGTTTAGGTTTAGCAAATATACCGGAGAGGATTCCTCCTAGTAAACCTGCCACAGCATGTGTGTGAAAGACACCTAATGTGTCATCAACTTTTTGAAAAAATGATGATTTTTTGTGAAGAACCATCATTGTGAACCATGGTATTGAGCCTGATGAAATTCCCATGAGTATTGCTGCCCATGACTCTACTATACCTGCCAATGAGCATGGTGTTATGGACATTTGGTTCAATTGATTACTCCTTCCGTTTCAATTTATGTGACATCACTTGACTAAACACAAAGTTTAAGAAAGAAAGAAAGAAAACAAAGATTCTATTAAAATGCCATGTATTATGTATCGGGAAAACAAACTAGAGAATCTTTTTCTTTAGAATCGAGACAGTTTGAACCCTAAGTAGTATTGACATTGAGAGCCGTTAAAAATCTGGAGATCAAGTCATTTGACTGGGGAGTCCCATGTAACTTCAAATAAGGTAAGATAAGGTAGGAAAGCTACGAATCGACTTTTGAAATATGTGGTTCAAAAACAAGGTCTTAAATATTTGTGTGTTTTGTAAATCATCTCATTAAGGGTTAAAAGGAAAAATTCTAAAGTTAAATCATCTCTTACTCCCTCCATTCCATATTAATTGTCTACTTTCCTAGTTACACGCCCCTTAAAAAATCATATATAAGAAGAATAATTTTACTAATTTACCCCTTTTGAAACTTTAAAAACTTGTTTACACGCAAATATCTAAGATCTGTTTTAGATCACAAGTTTCAAAAGTCCGAAGATCATTCATTTGACTTAAAGAGTCCCATCCAACTTCAAATAAGGTAAGATAAGGTAGGAAAGCTACAAAATCGACTTTTGAAATATGTGGTCCAAAAACAATGTCTTAAATATTTGTGTATTTTGTAAATCATCTCATTAAGGGTTAAAAGGAAATATTCTAAAGTTAAATTATTTCTTACTCCCTCCATTCCATATTAGTTGTCCACTTTCCCAGTTACACGCCCCTTAAGAAATCATATATAAGAAGAATAATTTTACTAACTTACCCCTTTTGGAACTTTAAAAACTTGTTTACATGCAATTATCTTAAGTCTGTTTTATACCACAAGTTTCAAATGTCTTTTTTTTTTTCTTTAATCTGATGTCAAGTCAAACGGTGCCACATAGATTAAGAGGCTCGAAAGAGTAATTTAGAACCCAATAACTTAAAAAGGACTAGAATCCAAAATTCATAAAAACTTTAAATTCTGAATTTGTCTCGGGATTAACCTGCACCAGGGGTGATACAAACAAGGCCAGTTATCATTCCTTGCACAGCTCCAATAACAGAACTTTTGTTGTAGAAAATCATGTCCATAGAAAGCCAGACCAACAAGCTAGTGGCTGTGCAAATATGTGTATTGAGTATAGCTAATGATGTAATTAAATTAGAGGCTAATGGAGATCCACCATTAAATCCAGTCCATCCCATCCATAGAAAACCAGCACCTCCAAGCATGTGAATTATGTTGTTTGGTGGGAAATGTTGTCTATCATGTGAATGCCTTGGTCCAACCTAACAATCAATTAATAAGTGAGTGACTGTTTATCGAAACTGTTATAGTCTGAGTGTGAGTGACTGTTTATCGAAACTGTTATAGTCTGAGTACTCAAAAAAGGGTTCTAAGAAATGTGGATTTTGGGACCTAAGGCACCTTTTTTTAATTTAGGGCGGAAAATCATATTCATACCACCATAACAACATTTACAACAATAACATATTCAGTTAAGTCCATAAATGGAATTTGGGAAGAATGAGTAGAGCTAGAAAGACTTATTTGGATACATCCTCGGGTCAAGGGAAAAAAAAAGTATAGTAGATCCAACATATTCAATGTGATTCACTTAAGTGGGGTCTGAAGAAGGTATACTGTAAGCAAACCTTACACCTAGCTACCTCCTAGAAATAGAGACTGAAAAACTCTCAACTCAAGTAACGCATATTAAACCAGTTAAAAAGGGAAAAAAAAATACATAGGATAAAAAAAAATTTACCCAATAAGCAGCAGTAAATCCAGCAACTCCAGATGAAAGATGTATGACATAACCACCAGAAAAATCAATAATGGGCTGAAGAAATCCAGAGCCCCATATACTATAAGCTCCAAATGTATATGAAAATGTAACCCAAAGTGGTACAAATATCATCCAAGCATAAAAATTCATTCTACCAAGTAATGAACCACCTAATAATATAACAGTAATTGCAGCAAATGCAAATTGATAAAATACATAATCTGCTGTTGGAATATTATAATGTGAATATTTACTTAATAAATAATTTTGTGCCATAGCTTGTTCTGGTTTACCAATTATTGGCATTAAATGTGTACCAAATGCCATTCTATGGGCCCATAAAACCCAACAAATTAAAACTGATGCAAATGCATATAGGCCCATAAAAGCTGAATTAACAGCCCATTTCTTTTTTACCATTGATCCATATAAAATTACAAGCCCAGGTACACTTTGTAGGCCCACCATTGTGGCTGCTATTAATTCCCATGTATTATCACCTTTACTTAACCATTCTGGTGATGATTCATCTGGTTGGATACCTTGTGGGAGGACTGAATATTTTGGGTCCATTTAGAAAAATAATAATTTGGGGGGGGGGGGGGGGGTGTGGTAAAACGATATCGTTTGTCTGAATATATTTTGGTTGTGCTAGTGAAATGCTGTTATAGAAAATATATTACATAACATAATGAGAAAAATTGGATCGGAAGAAAACTTAGTTGTTATAGTGATATGATGACTGTTGCAGAGAGATTGGTTTGACTGCATGGAAGCTTGTGGTATTTTTTTTTTCAAATCTATCTAAAATGACGTCACTTGTATAGATCTATTTTGGATGCAATAGTAAAATGTTGTTATAGAAAACATGTAATATAACATAATGTGAAAAATCGAATCCAAAGAGTGAAATGTTGTTATAGAGGACAATTGTTTTAGAGAGATCGATCAGACTGTATCGAAGTTAATGTATATTTTGTGATAAAGGTTAATGGGGTTTAGATATTTATAACAAACAAGTTTGAGGGAAAATCAAGGTAGACATATAGGGATAATCTAAGTTTTTGTATTTACTTTAGGATTCACTGATATTCTGTGGTGTCATATTATAGCTGGAAATGTGTGTTGTTTCAATGATTCTTGATTTTATTATATTCATTACATAAACTAAACAACTATATATGGTTATGTTCTTGCCAATATGATTTGGATAAAGGATTAAAGTTTTGGTTCCACATGTCTCACTATTAAAAAAAAAAGGTGAATTTTAAATGAGCGTTCCATTAGAAATCAACTCGTTGTTAAGTTATTTCTTTTTAACTAGTCAATTTTTGACGAATTGCATAACAAATTCGGTTTAAGTAAATCCACCGATGGATTTGTGAGTATGATGAAATTCAATGTTCGACGTCAAATACTATATTTCAATTTCCATATGACTAGAGATGCAATCATTAGTAGATCCAACTTCGTGTATTTGGTAGAATTCAGTGTTATGGGCCATGGCCATCCTAGTAATCATAA